CTCTACCACTTGAGCCACAGCGCCACTTCTGGCTTTTTTTGTTTGCTTATGTGGTGCTGAGGAATCAAACCCAGGGCATGCAAGGCAAGTGCTCTACCACTGAGCCACCTTCCCAGCCCCCAGAATTTACAGAGTTTTAATCTTCCAGCTAGGCACCTATGATCACACTTGTCACCCTAGCTATTCATCAGGCTAAGATCTGAGGATCACAGGTCAAAGTCAGCCTGGGCAGGAAAGCCTGTGAGACTCTTATCTCCAATTAACCACTAAAGGCAGGAGAGCTGTGGCCCAAGCCTCCTAAGTAGGTAGGATTATAGGCATGAACCCACCAGCACCTAGCTCATGAGACTCTTATCTCCAGTTAACCATCAAAAAGCCAGAAGTGGAACTGTGGCTCAAGTGGTGGAGCATCAAGCTTAAGTAAAAAGCTATGGGACAGTACCTAGGCCTGGAGTTCAAGCCCCAATACTGGCATACACACAAGAGATGGTCCTCATGAGAGATGTGGGTTAGTGGGTCTCTGAATGCTTTTATTTGGCTTGAAGATCCAGATTAAGCTTTGTGTCATAGGGGGTGGCTGTCCCCTGGGCTTTCTACATGGGGACATTCCTCTGTAACTCATTGGGCACACTTAGCCCTCCCAGAGCTGTTTGGCTTTTTAGTTTCCATCTACTTACCAGCCCTCTTCTGTTACCTTTCTCAGGCTGAAATGTCTCCCGCTAAGAAGACAGTAATTGAATTCTGCCCCGGCCTCTCTCTGGATCCCGTCTTGTCACTGATAGAAGTCCATGGATTGTTCAGTTAATACACTGTACAGATTGTATTTATATGTAAATTCCTGCTGTAAAATAATTTTTTTTAATCTTGACTTTTCAAAGGCTGCCTTGAAAGGTTGCGGAAATTGATTTCTATTTTTAACTTCACTTTGTGTCAGAGTGAAAAATTCAGATTGAACAGTTTAATTAAAGTACTGGAGTTTGCGATGTTTTTTTTTTCTCCTTTCCTCTTGAATTTTTAATTTCCTGGAAATTTGAGAAATAAATTAAAAGTGAAGGCTTTCAGACAGGCTCCCATGGCTCATACCTGTAATCCGAACTACTCAGGAGGAAGCAAGCTTATGATGGAAGCCAGCCTGGACAGGAAAGTCTGTGAGAATCTTATCTTTAGTTAAAGAGCAAAAATCTGGAAGTGGGTTTGGAAGGTGGCTCAGTGGTAGAGTGCTTGCCTTAGACATGCATGAGGCCCTGGGTTTGATTCTTCAGTACTACATAAGCAGAAAAAGCTGGAAGTGGCACTGTGGCTCAGGTGGTAGAGTGCTAGTCTTGAGCTGAAGAGCTGGGGGACAGTGCCCAGACCCAGAGTTCAGGCCCCACGACTGGCAAAAAAAGAAAGAAAAAGCTGGAAGTAGAACTCAAGTGGTAGAGCTTCAGCCCTGAGCAAAACAACTAAGGGACTGTGCCCAGGCCCTGAGTTCAAGGCCCAAGAACTGCATAAAACAACAACAAAACACAGTGTGGTGTACACCAAAGAGTTGCTTGCCTAGTGTGTGCTAGGTCCTGGGTCACATCCCCATCACTGGGGAAAGAAGGCAGAGGGTTCTAACTAATCCAAGAAGCCATGTGGGTTGGGAATGTGGTTTAGTAGTAGAGTGCTTGCCTAGCATGCATGAAGCCCTGGGTTCGTTTCCTCAGTACCACAAACAGAACAAGCTGGAAATGGTGCTGTGACCCAAGTGGCAGAGTGCTAGCCTTGAGCAAAAGAAGCTCAGGGACAGTGCCCAGGCCCTGAGCTCAAGCCCCAGGACCTACAGAAAAAAAAAAGAGGCCATGCATCAGGGTATGTGTGTGCACGTGTGTGTTGGTCCTGGAGCTTGAACTCGGCCTGGGCACTGTCCCTGAAGTTTTGTGCTCAAGGCTAGCACTCTACCTCTTGAGCCACAGCTCTAATTAGGTCGGGTGGTGGGGCCTGAACTCTGGGCCTGGGCGCTGTCCCTCAGCTCTTCAGCTCAAGGTTAGTGCTCTACCACTTGAGCCACAGCGCCACTTCCGGCTTTTTTCTTTTTGCTTATGTGGTGCTGAGGAATCGAACCCAGGGCCTCATGCATGCAAGGCAAGTGCTCTACCACTGAGCCACTTTCCCAGCCCAGCCCCTTGATTTTTTATTTTATTTTTGTCAGTTGTGGGGTTTGAACTCTGGGCTCAGGTGCTGACCTTGCGCTCTTCAGCTCAAGGTGAGCACTCTACTGCTTGAGCCACAGCACCACTTTGTTTCCTACAGGTTTATTGGAGATAAGAGTCTCACAGACTTTCCTGCCTGGGCTGGCTTTGAACCATGATCCTCAGATCTCAGCCTCCTGAGTAGCTAGGGTGACAGGGGTGAGTCTCTGGCACCTGGCTTTTTTGTTTGTTTGTTTATTTTCACCCAGTTTTGCTGCATATCCTTGCTAATCCTCAAGCTCATCCTCCTCCAGGGGTGCACAGCCCACCAGGCTATGGAAACACCCACTTTCCTTCAAGTGGCCTGATGGCTGTGATTCAGATCATCTTCCCTGGGGGGATGGGGGGGAGGTCCCCGGGGTAGCTCGCGGCCCTGAAGGGCTGGGGGGGGCGGGGAGGGAGGGAGGCCGAGGTGGGGGCACGCGGGGCCACCGTTCCCCCTGCCAGCTGTGTGGGGAGAGAGGCATCGCCCCAGACAGGGTCCAAGATGGCTCGCCCACCGCCAAGCCCCCAGCGCATCCCGCACAGAAGGAAGATCCCGATCTTCCCTGAGCGAACCTGGGGCTGGAGGACCCAGACCGCCGCCACCCAGGAGCCACCCAGGGGCCGCAAGGTGCCCTGGGGGGCCCTGGTGAGGGCCTTGGGTCACTTCAGGATGTCCCTCCCGGACATCCGCCATCGGGAGAGGATGCTGAACACCCACGACCCGGTGTCCTTGGACAGGTTCCCTCGGCTGTCCGAGGACCAGGAGGAGGAGGAGCCTGAGATAAACTGGGGGGACCACCAGCCCCTCTCCAAGGTCAGAGCCCACGAGTGACTGATGGGGTTCGGGGACGGGGCGGGGGCGGGGGGGGAGTGTCAATGTGGCTTTTATCTGCATGCTGGGGCCATGCTGTGCCCGTGCCCCAGCCCGCAGCACCCCCCACAGACAGACAGACAGACAGACAGCACTGCATCCCCACGCCCACCGCGCTGTGGTCCGCTGGGAGAGCAGGGGAAGGGCGCCATGTGTGTGTGTGTGTGTGTGTGTGTGTACACTTTTACATACTTTTCTGCCCACGATGGCTTTGAACAGTGATCCTCAAGATCTCAGCCTCCTCCTAAGTAGTTAGGATTTCAGGTGTGAGGGCCAGTGCCCTGGTACATTTTATTTTTGTGTTTGTTTTGTTTTAACTCAGGACCTGACTGCTGTCCCTTCATTTTTTCACTCAAGGCTAGCACTCTACTACTGGAATCACAGCTCCATGTTTCTAGCTTTATTGGTGGTTTGTGGGAGATAAAGAGTTCCACAGACTTGGATTCCCCGGCTGGCATTGAACCCAAGATCCTCAGTTATCAGCTACCTGATTAGTGAGGATTACTGACATAAGCCACCCCAGTGGTCTTTAATTTCTCTCAGCAGTATTTTGTAATATTCAAAGTACAAATTTTCCACTTGCTTTAATTTATTCCTACATGTTCTTGTGGATGCTTTTGTAAATGGAATATTTTAATCCCCCCCCCCACACTCTTTTGTCAGTTGTGGGGCTTGAACTTGGGGCCTGGCACTGTCTCTGAATTCTTTTTGCTTAAGCCTAGCACCACTTCTGGTTTTCTGGTGGTTAATTGGAGATGAGAGTCTCACAGACTTTCCTGCCAACCTAGCTTCAAACTGTGATCCTCAGATCTCAGCCTCCTGAGTAGCTAGGATTATAGGCAAGGGTACCAACACCTGCTTTTTTTTTTTTTTTTCCTCTCCCTACACAATTGCTAGGGTTGGGGATTTTGCTCAGTGGAAGAGTGTTTGCCCAGCAAGTTCAAAGCCCTGAGTTTGATACTCAGCTCTGCAAAAAGAAATACGAATTGCCTTTTGTGTAACAGCCTTGTATCCTAGTTTTGAACTGGTTTTGTTGGTTTGTTTACAGGTCCCATATAAAATCCTGGCTGGGCATGAGCATGCTGTGAGTTCCTGTCACTTCTGTATGGATGACACAAAGATCGTTAGTGCCTCCTTTGACCGCACTGTTAAATTGTGGGTAGGTTAGTTTCTGGGGTTAAAATGTCTTATAAGCCTAGACACTTCTTTGGTTTTTGTTTTGTTTTGCTTGTCTTTTGTGTTTTTTTGTTTGCTTGTTTGTATTGGTGTCAGTACTGAGTACTGAGGCTTAAACTCAGGGCCTGGGTGCTGTCCCTTAGCCTTTTCCACTCAAGGCTAGCATGTTACCACTTGAGCAACACCTCCACTTCCAGCTCTTTGGTAGTTCATTGGAGATAAAGATCTCATGTACTTCCAGCCCAGATTGGCTTCAAACCATGATACTCAGATCTGAGCCTCCTGAGTAGTTTTACTTTTCAACTTTTTGATTGAACAGTAGGACTCATGTGTTTTCTGTCTCTTTGGGTCAGATCCCAGTACTGCCAAACAGACAAACAAAGAAAAATTCATTGTCCGTTTACCACCACAGAGTAAATGACTGTGAAGAATGTTGAGGGGGTCGCATCTTTTTTTTCCTCATAGTGACTCATTTACAGAATCAAGGACCATGCAGAAATACTGCATTTGTAACCCAGAGCTATATATGGTTACATCTAGATTTTTCTAACTATTTATTGGAACCCTGTCCTCATTCATTCAGAGCTTGGCCAGTATCCTCACTTAAAATTGAGTCCATAGGTGCTGGCTGAAATTGTCTATGGATGCTGTTCCTTCTCTTGGCCACATGAGGACACTGTTGTATACTGAACCTGACCCAACACTATGGATGCTGGTCAATTCCATTAGCTGGCCCCAAGGCATATGCCGCAGGCCTCCAGGCAATACATCTCTTAGTTTACAGTTACATTTTTCATCTATAGAGCAACATTACTAACCAGGGTGGCTGGATTCCAGTCTGTCTTTCCAGTACCCAATGAAGAGGAAGACTTTTTTGTTGTTGGTCATGAGAATTGAACTCAGATCCTAGGAACTGTGCCTAAAGTTTTTTTTTTTTAATTCAAGGCTAACACTGTACTACTTTGAGTCACAGCACCACTTCCCATTTTTGAGTGGTTCGTTGGAGATAAGAGTCTCACAGACTTTTCTGCACAGGCCGGTTTTGAACCGTGATCCTCAGATCTCAGCCTCCTGAGTAGCTAGGATTACAGGCGTGAGCCAGCAGTGCCTGGCTAAGAAGACGGTTCTTGAACACCATACCTGCCATCTTCGGGATGTTGCCCCCAGCACTTTTCCCTTGGCTAATTTGGCTTTATAAATGGATGGTCCTCCACTGTAATAACACTCCACTGTGAGCCAGTGGCTCACTCCTGTAATTCTAGCTACTTAAGGAGGCTGAGATCTGAGGATCACAATTCAAAGCTAGCCTTCATAGAAAACTCCATGAGATTTATATATATATATATATATATATATATATATATATTGTTATTGTTATTGTAGAGGTGATGTATACAGGGGTTACAGTTACATAAGTCAGGTAAAGAGTACATTTTTGGGCTGGGAATGTGGCTTAGTGGTAGGAATGCTTGCCTAGTATGCAAGTAAGCCCTAGGTTCAATTCCTCAGTACCACACTCACAAGAAAAAAAACAAACAACAGAAGTGGCACTGTGGCTCAAGTGTTAGAGTGCTAGCCTTGAGGAAAAAGAAGCTCAGGGACAGTGCCCAGGCTCTGAGTTCAAGCCCCAGGACTGGCAAAAAAAAAAAAAAGTACATTTCTTTTTTGTAACTGTGATACTATTTCCAAAAACCAGCAAAAAGCTGGGAATGGAGTGGAAGTGTGGCTCTAGTAGAGCACCAGCCTTGAATGAAAAAGCCAATACCAGCATACACACACACACACACACACACACACACACACACACACACACAGAGTTCTTGAGGGATGTTGCTCAAGTCTCCAAAGTCTATTTGCCTAGTGGAAAATGGGAATTGCTATTCTGGTCTCGTTCCTATGGACCTGTACATAAAGTTTGCCACAGTTACCATGGGTGTTGGAGGTGCCTTTCCAGCTTTGGTGTGGGGAGGGGTGATGGGTGTGGGAAAGCCCATCCATTCTCTGGAGCTGAGTGAGAGCCATAGGACCTGGGATTCATGAACTTGGCTCTGAAGGCAAGGCAAGGGAAGGAAAGTCTGTTGGGGAAGGCTGAAGGGAAAGGGCATGGCCCTGACTGCCCTCTCTCTCTCCTCTCTCCCCCGTTCACTTAAGGATGCTTTTGATGGAATTGTGATTCGAGATTTTGAACAAAGCCCCAAAGCTCCTGTCATAGAGTGCAGCGTCACAGCTGACAGCAAAAGGTAACATTTCCTTGGTTTTATTTTGGCCAGGAAAGGGTGAGTCAGCAGGAGGGCAGTTCAGGTGTCAGTGACAGATATTTGTTTAAAGCAAATATGAGCTGGGCGCTGGTGGCTCATGCCTGTAATCCTAGTTATTCAGGAGGCTGAGATCTGAGGATCATGGTTTGAAGCCAGCCTGACAATAAAGTCCATGAGTCTTTCATCTCCAATAAACTACTCAAAACAAGCCAAAAGTAGAGCTGTGGCCCAAGTGGTAGAGTGCTGGCCTTGGACAAAAATGTCAGGAACAATGTCACCCCAGGCTCTGAGTTCAACCCCAATACTGGCACAAAACAAAAGCAAATATAAGCTGGGCACCAATGGCTCACACCAGTAATCCTAGCTACTCAGGAGGCTGAGATCTGAGGATTGGGGCAGTAATATCCATGAGACTCTAAATTTCCTATTAACCACCAAAAGCCAGAAATGGAGGGGTGGCTCAAATGGTAGAGTACCCACCTTGGATGAAAAAGCTAAGTAAGAACATAAGGACTTGAGTTCAAGTTCCAATACTAGCACACCCAAAAATTATGTGTCCAAGCCGGGCATCAGTGGCTCACGCCTGTAATCCTAGCTACTCAGGAGCCTGAGATTTGAGGATGGTAGTTCAAAGCCAGCCTGGGCAGAAAAAGTCCATGAGATCTTTTATCTCCAATAAACCACCAGATAACCAGAAGTGGTGCTGTGGCTCTAGTGGTAGAGTGCTCACCTTGAGCTGAAGAGCTGAGGGACAGCGCCCAGGCCGAGTTCAAGCCCCACAACCGTCAAAAAAAAAAAATTATGTGTCTATCATTGGGTTAAAACCATTGATAATGATAGAGTTGTCTGGTCCAATCATATCTCAAGAAGCCCATTAAACCAGAGGCCAAGACCTCAACATGTGATCCTCTTTGGGGAACACATCATATTCAAATCACACCAGTACAGTTGTTTATCTTTCACTAACTAAACAGAAAACCATTTCCGAACAGAATGAGCTGTCTATGAAAACATTTTCCTGTAAGAAGTCAGATGTGAACGAGTCAGGGAGGAGACTGAACAACTCTAATAATTTACAGAGATTGCTGTCAAAGAGGACAGTAAAACCCAATACTTGCAGCTTACGCCTGTGATCCTCACTACTCAGGAGGCTGGCATCTGAGGATTGTGGTTCAAAGTCAGCCCAAGCAGGAAATGTGATTCTTATCTCCTGTTAACCACCAAAACCAGAAAGTGGAGCTGTCGCTCCAGCCTTGCGTGGATAAAAGCTGAGGGACCTTTTCCAGGCCCTGAGTTCAAGCACCAGTACCAGCACAAAGAATAAATAAATAGGGTTGGGAATGCAGCTTAGTGGTAGAATGCTTGCCTAGTATGCATGAAGCCCTGGGTTCAATTCCTCAGTAGTATTACACAGAAAAAGCCAGAAGTGGTGCTGTGGCTCAAGAGGTAGAGTGCTAGCCTTGAGCAAAAGGAGCTCAGGGACAGTGCCCAGGCCCTGAGTTCAAGCCCCACGACTGGCCAAGTAAATAACCAGCAAAAATCTGGCAGGGGGCGGGGGGGGGGAGAGATGTTGCTTAAGGGTGCCAGTCAAGCAAGCCAAGCAAATACAAGACCCCAAGTTCAAACTCTAGTACTGAAAAAAGGAGGAAAAAGGGAAGATAAAAAGAAACCCAAAGGGGCTGGGAAGGTGGCTCAGTGGTAGAGCGCTTGCCTTGCATACATGAGGCCCTGGGTTCAATGCCTCAGCACCACATAAGCAAAAAAGAAAAAAGCCGGAAGTGGCACTGTGGCTCAAGTACTAGCCTTGAGCTGAAGAGTTGAGGGACAGCGCCCAGGCCCAGAGTTCAGGCCCCATGACTGGACCCCCCCCCAAAAAAAAAAGAAACTCAAAGGACTGGGAGTGTAGCTTAGTGGTAGAGTGCTTGTCTAGCACGAACAAAGTCCTGGGTCGATTCCTCAGTACCACATACACAGAAAAAGCTGGAAGTGGAGCTGTGGCTCAAATGGTAGAGTGCTAGCCTTGAGCAAAAAGAAGATCCGGATGGTGCTCAGGCCCTGAGTGCAAGCCCCAGGAATGGCAAGAAAAAAGAAAAGAAAGGGGGGGGGCAGGAAGAAAAGAGGGAGAAAAAGAAAAGAAAGAAAGAAAAAAGAAAAAAAAGAAAGAAAGAGAAAGAAGCCTTAAGTCCCATCGTTGCTTAAGACCCTATATTTATTATTTGATTTTCAGGGTTGTCGCCTCATCCTATGACAAATCAGTAAGGGTTTGGGACACGGAAACTGGCAAACTGCTGGTAGGTATGGCTGGCCCCAGCCTGGTTGTGGCGGCAGCGAGGGATTCTGACTGTGTAGCTTCGGGCTGGACCTAGCATTAGGGAAGATTATGAAAGCCCTGGGTCTTCCAGTTTTCTCAGCCATTCAGACAGGGGTGTGATGGCGCCCTCCAGTGGCCATACCTGCAAAAAACGGGCCCCTTCTGCCCTCCGCTGGGGAAAGGAAGCTGCTGGTTGAAGATGCTGCTAGAAAGATAAAAAGTTTGGATCCACAGGAAGAAGCTGAGGATTTACATTCCAGGCTCTCCTTTGAGCCTTTTGGATTAGATTGTCAGAAAATAGGGCTGAGACAATGGGACAAAAAGTGTTCTGAGCCTTTCCTAATTTGTTCCTCTGTATGTGGTGTGTGTGTGTGTGTGCGCGCGCACGTGTATGCCTGTACCAGTATTGGGGCTTAAACTCAGGGCCTGCTCACTGTCACTTAGCTTTTTCTCTCAAGGCTGGTGTTCTATGACTTGAGTCACACCTCCTCCACTCTGGCTTCTTAACTGGTTCATTGGACAGAATTCCCATGGGCCTGGGGCTGGGAAGGTGGCTCAGTGGTAGAGCGCTTGCCTTGCATGCTCGAGGCCCTGGGTTCGATTCCTCAGCACCACTTAAGCAAAAAAAAGAAAAAAGCCTGAAGTGGCGCTCTGGCTCAAGTGGTAGAGCGCTAGCCTTGAGCTGAAGAGCTGAGGGACAGCACCCAGGCCCAGAGTTCAGGCCCCACGACCGCACCCAAAAAAAAATATTCCCATGGTCCTTCCTGCCTGTGCTGGCTTTGAACCTTGATCCTCAGATCTCAGTCACCTGAATGGCAGGTGTGAGTCATCAGCACTCACCACCCAGTTTCTGTCATTTCTTTTTATTAACCTAGTCCCAGATTGTCCTTCCTGACATTTTATAAGCATTAGAAATGAGTCATACTGGGCACTGGTGGGCCATGCCTCTTATCCTATCTACGTAGGAGGCTGAAATCTGAGGATCACAGTTTGAAGCCAGCCCAGGCAGGAAAACCTGTGAGACTCATATCTATAATTAACCACCAAAAAGCCACAAGTAGAGTTGTGGCTCAAGGAGTAGAAAACCGTTCTTGAATGAAAAAGCTAAGGGACAACACCTAGTCCTGAGTTCTAGTACCATCACACACAAAAAAATCATGTACTTGCACAGGAATAAATTGTTCATACCATGAACTTACTGCCTATTCTCCAGCACTCTTTCTGTTCCTGCTCCTCTGTTCTTTTTAAAATTTAAGTGAAGTTAATCAAACTTGTCAGGTGCCAGTAGCTCATTCTTGAAATCCTAGTTATTTGAGAGGCTGAGATCAGGAGGATCACAGTTCAAGGCCAGCGTGGCCAAAAAAAAAAAAAAGTTTGGAAGATCCCATCTCAACCTGTTATTCCAGCTATTGAAGCGTTAAAAAAAAATAGGATCTCAGTCCAGACCCATTCCTGAGCAGGAAGAGAGATCCTTTGATCTCATTCCAAGTGCATCATGGAGGCAAGCACATGAATGAAAAAACAGTAAGTTCTAATGGGGTGGAGAGCTTATCCCAGGAGAACTCACTGGACCTTCCTGTTTCAGTGGAAGGTCAGATACGACACCTTTGTCCTGTCCTGTAAGTTTTCACCTGATGGTAAATACGTGGTCTCAGCCCTAGATTTGGATAATGGGATCTGCATCATGGATGCGAAAGACATCACCACTGTGATTCATGTGAAACGTGAGTGTGCACCTGTCCCTTGCTCTGCCCCATCTATCACCCGGATGGCCCCTTGTCAACTTTTAAAACCATCGTGATAAGAACTACATTGTAGCTGGGCATAGTAGCTCAGGCTTATAGTCCTAGTCATTCCGGAGGCTGCAATTCAGGCCAGCTTGGCTTGAGATGCCATCAGAAGAGGCAAACCTGGGCTTGGTGGTACTTACTTGTTTTCCTAGCTACTCAAGACAGTATTAATAGGAATTCTAGGTCTAGGCCAGCCTGGGCATAGAGGCATTACCTCAAATAAATAAAAATAAAAACAACTACACGATGAAAGCCGAGCCTGACTTGAGAAAGGCATAGTTAGCCCTACGGCTGAATCTCTTTGGCCAGTCCCTTCCCTTCAGTCAGGCGATTGTAACAGACTAAACAATGTGTGCGTGCACACTGCCGCCTACGCTGTTCCCGCCCCACATCGCAGGTCACCACAGAAGGTCCATCACAGCATGCTGCTTTGACCCCGAGAGCCGCAGGATAGCATCTGTCTCCTTGGACAGATGTATCAAGATCTGGGATGTCACCACTCAGTCCACACTGTTCACCATCAAGAAGTAAGGAGGAGGAGGGCTGGGAATGTGGCTTAGTGGTAGTGCTTGCCTACCATGCTTGAGGGCCTGGGTTCAATTCCTTGGTACCACATTTAAAAAAAAAAAAAAAGAATAAAAATCCCTCTGTCGGCTTTATAATGACATTTTTTTTTAAAAAAAGCAAACAAAAATAAGTAAAATTAAAAGAAAATAAAGCATTAAAACTTTTTTTTCCTTTAAAAGAAGAAGAGCCAGAGCCAGGCTCACACCTGTAATCCTAGCTACTCAGGAGGCTGAGATCTGAAGACTGCGGTTCAAAGCCAGCCCAAGCAGCAAAGTCCATGAGACTCTTTTTTTTTTTGTCGGTCATGGGGCTTGAACTCTGGGCCTGGGCGCTGTCCTTCAGCTCTTCAGCTCAAGGCGAGCGCTCTACCACTTGAGCTACAGCGCCACTTCCGGTTTTCTGGTGGTTTATTGGAGATAGGAGTCTCACGGTCTCTCCTGCCCGGGCTGGCTTTGAACCGTGATCCTCAGATCTCAGCCTCCTGAGTAGCTAGGATTACAGACATGAGCCACCAGCGCCCGGCTCCATGAGACTCTTATCTCCAATTAACCACCAGAAAACTGAAGTGGTGCTATGGCTCAAGTGGTAGAGCGCTTTGAGCTGAAGAGTTCAGGGACACTGTGCAGGCCCAGAGTTCAAGCCCCACAACCCACCATAACCAAAAAAACAAAACAAAAAAAGAGCTAGCCATAGCACTCCTGAGCATCTACCCAGAACATCACAAGCCAGGATACTGTAGATACTTGTAACGTGGACATCCATGTTCCTTGCTGCACTACTCACAATAGCCAAGCTATGGAAACAGCTCAGAAACCCTACAATAGCTGAGTGGAGCCAAAAAGTGTGGTACACAATGAAATTTTACAGTCATTAGAAAGAATCATGCTAAGTCACTTGCAGGGAAATGGATGGACCTAGAGCAAATCATGTTAAGTAAGACAAACTCAGAGATACAAATGGTGCATGTTTTTTTTTTTCTCATATGTGGAAGCCAGATCTAACATACACTGGGACATGATAAATTATACAGGACTGGAGGCAGTCACGAAGTGAGACCAGAGGAGGATACTCTTAAGAGAGGAACACAAGGTGCAATGCCTGTGTGCATCTGATCATAGAAAATGATATTTATCAAAATGAACTCCACATAATGGAAAGGAGGGGGGGAGAGGAGGAGGAGGAAAGGAGCCAGGCACAAGTGTTTCACACCTATAAGTCCTAGCTACTCAGGAGGTTGAGATCTGAAGGAAAGTCCATGACTCTGAACTCCAATTAACCAGTTTAATTGGATCTGGTTCAAATTGTAGACCATCAGCCTTATACTTTAAAAAAAGCTAAAGGGCAATGCCCAGGCCCTGAGTTCAATTCCCAATACTGGCACACACACACATACACACACACACACACACACACAATGTTCCCATTAGCACATGAGCAATTCACATCTGGACTGATTGCTGGAATGACACCCCCTCCCCCACACCCCGTTCTCAACATCCGGTCCTCCCTGAGGCATGGACCCCTCCCCCTGTCTGTGTTTCAGGGCACACTTAAATGCCATCTCAAACTGCTGCTTCACCTTCAGTGGTCATTTCCTATGTACCACTTCCTGGGACAAAAGCTTAAAAATATGGAATGTACACACAGGGGACTTCCGGAACCGAGGAGCTTGTGTCACTCTGATGCAGGGCCACGAAGGTTCCGTGAGCTGCTGTCACTTTGCCACAGACAGTGAGTAGCTAATACCTAGAAGACATCTTGATATTTTGTTGTTGTTGTTGTTTTTGTGCTGGTCCGAGGGCTTGAACTCAGGGCCTGGGTGCTGCCATTTAGATCTTCTGGTCAAGGCCGGCGCTCTACCACTTGTGCCACAGCTCCACTTTCTGGTTTTGTTTTGGTGGTTCATTGGAGAAAAAGAGTTTCACAGACTTTCCTGCCTAGGCTGGTTTTGAATTTTGATCCTCAGACGTTAGCCTCCTAAGTAGCTGGAATTACAGGCATGAGACACGGATGCCCAGCTAAGAAAGGACAGTGCTAGCTCAAGCACTAGCCTTGAGCTGAAGAGCTGAGGGACAGTGCCCAGCACCAGAGTTCAGGCCCTATGACCGGCATAAAAAGAAAGAATGAGAAAGAGAGAGAGAGAGAGAGAGAAAGGGAGAGAAACAGAAAGAAAGAAAGAAAGAAAGAAAGAAAGAAAGAAAGAAAGAAAGAAAGAAAGAAAGAAAGAAAGAAAGAAAGGGAAGGAAGAAAGGGAAGGAAGGAAGAAAGGAAGAAGGGGGGAGGGAAAGAAAGAAAGAAAGAAATCATGGGATTTCCCATGATGCCAACAGTGATAGTGGATTATCTTTTTAACCACATGAGGACCAAAAACTCAAGTGGGGCATCCTGAGACACAAGTTTCCAAGTGGCACAAACTCAGTTTAATATAGGTTAAGAAATGAAAGAAATGTACTAACTCCTGTGATGGAAAATTCCAAGGTGGGTACCCATAGCTCATGCCTGTAATCCCAGCTACTGAGGAGGCTGAGATCTGAGGATCTGTTTGAGCGTCTGTTTGCATGAATCTAACCCAGTCAGCAATCCATCAGTGTTTGCGAACTCAGCGTGTGCAGTAACTTCATGAAGGTTAACTACTGTAAATGACAACTTTGCTGGTCACTGCTGGGACTCGCTGGGCCACCTAGGGAAGGGGGTGGGGGTCCCATGATCAGTGGTAGAGACACAAAAATTCCACAGATAAGCAGGTCACTGGTGGCTCATGCTTGTGCCAGCGACTCAGGAGGCTGAGCTCTGAGGATAGTAATTCGAAGTAAGCCCAAACAGGAAAGTCAGTGAGACTCTTATCTCCAATGAACTACCAAAAAAAAAAAGTCAGAAACAGAGCTGTGACTCAAGGAGTAGAGTGCTAGCCTTGAGTGAGAAAGCTCAGACAGTGCTGCTCAGGCCAGGAATGAGTTCAAGCCCCAGATCTGTACACACACAGACACACACACACACACACATCTCATAGCCTGCTGTGGTCTCACAGAGGCGAACGTCATTTGAAACTCTATGTTGCAGACTCTTATCTCATTTCTGGAGGGCTGGACAACACCGTGGCTATCTGGGATGTGGGAGAAGGCTTCCGGAAGCTGTCCCTGAAGGTACAAAGGCCACTGTAATTCAGCATCTGAGTTTGTTTGTTGTCTGTTGTGGGGCTTGAAGTCTGGGCCTGGGACCTGTCCCTCAGCTCTTCAGCTCAAGGCTAGCGCTCTACCACTTGAGTTACAGTGCCACTTCTGGTTTTCTGAGTGGTTTTATTGGAGATAAGTCTCCTGGGCTTTCCTACCCTGGCTCTGAATGGTGATCCTTAGATCTCAGCCTTCTGAGTAGCTAGGATTACAGGCGTGAGCCACTGCGCCTGGCTTGTTATCCTGTGTTTTCATGAAGGCATTTTTTCGCCCCCTAGGTCCTTGTTAAATTTCTATTTTTATCTTTTCAGGGTCATACTGATTGGGTGATGGATGTTTCAGTTAGTAGTAGCAACAAATGGATCCTGTCAGCTTCAAAGGTACAAAGCTGCCAAGCCCCAAGTGACTTCTAACACTTGGCACACTGATCAGAACTGACAAAGGCTAAAGTTTATTCCCAAGTGTAAAACTCCTGGCAGACCAGGTGCCTGTAATCCCAGTACTCTGGAGACTGTGGCAGGATGGAGACAGGCACTTGGTGGCTCACACCGGTCATCTTAGCTTCCCAGGAGGCTGAGATCTGAGGATTACAGTTGGAAGCCAGCCCAGGGCAGGAAAATCAGTGGGATTCCTATCTGCAGTTAACCACCAAAAAGCCAGAAGTAGAGCTCTGTGGCTCAAGTTGGTAGAGTGCTAGCCTTGGGTGAAAAAACTAAGGGAAAGTGCTCAGGCCCTGAGTTCAAGTCCCAGCACTGACACAAACAACAAAAACTCAAAACCTTCCGAGGAGGGCTTAGTTCATGTGTACCCCTGGGAGCTAGGGGGAAGACAACGAAGGTAAGCCCTTGTGTGTGAAGCACCTATTTCCACAATTGTGTCACTGAAGACTGAGCTTTGTCGGGGAGTGAGGCCAACAAGGGCTTCGGAGAATGAGCACCAGCTCACAGGGGAGGTACGGAGACCAAGTTGGCCAGCTGGTTTCTGTGACCCACCCACCTGGAGAATGGCCCAGGGTCTGGCTGTTACACACAATTGGGGAACTCCAAGGGCTACTCATGTAGAGAGAAAGGAGACCCACTTGGGCTACGCCCTCAATCCTGTTTGCTTACTTATCTTCCTGAGAGGGTCTTGTTTTTTTCCCTGGCCTCTGCCTCCTAAGTAGCTGGGATTACAAGCATCTAATACCATGCTCCCAATTTTTCTTTTTTTTGGGGGGAGGGGTCCGGTTGTGGGGCCTGAACTCTGGGTCTGGGCGCTGTCCCTCTTCAGCTCAAGGCTAATGCTCTACCACTTGAGCCATAGCGCCACTTCCGGCTTTTTTCTTTTTGCTTATGTGGCGCTGAGGAATCGAACCCAGGGCCTCAGGCATGCAAGGCAAACACTCTACCACTGAACCACCTTCCTGGCCCAATGCTCCCAATTTTTCTGTTCCTATGTCCATACCTGGACTTGAACTCAGGCTTTATCTTCCCATGCTTGCTCCTGGCTGATGGCTCTACCACCTGAGTTGTGCCTCCAGTCAGGCAATTTTGCTAGTTCACTTGAGATATTTTTTAAAAATCAGCTTCTTCTGCCTGAGCTGGCCTCAAACCATGATCCTCCAGGTCTCAGCCTCCTGAACAGCTAGGATTATAATTGTGAGCCACTGGCACCCAGTTTGTCCATGTCTTTTTGTGGGTTAACAATGTGCTTCTTTTAGTCATGAATGTTTCACCATATAGCTGTACAACAGCCTCACTGGGAGCATGGCTTTACCACTGACCTTGTCTTAGGATAGGACCATGAGACTGTGGAATATTGAAGATATTGATGAAATTCCTATGGTGATAAACTCCAAAAAAGCTATGGGCTTGAAGATGAAACAGGTTGGTATTGGGTAAAATGAAGGCCTGAGCAGGTTTTCAGTCACTCTCTCTAAGCTACTCACTGGACTAAACCTTTTTTGATCACTGAGCATATAACCATATCCTATGGATGCTTCAATTCTAAGGGAGTGTAGGAAGTCCCATGGAGACCACTGCTGTGGATAAAGGTGACATAAGATGGCCAGGTGCCGGTGGCTCATGCCTGTAATTCTAATTACTCAGGAAGCTGAGACCTGAGGATCAAGGTTCAAAGCCGGTCTGGGCAGGAAAATCCATGAGACTCATCTCCAATTGATCAGCAAAACACCAGAAGAGGAGCTGTGGCTCAAATGTTAAGAGTGTTAGCCTTGAGGAAAAAAGCTAAGGAAAAGCTGGGCACTGGTGGCTCACACCTGTGATCCTAGCCTGGGCAGGAAACTCCCTGAGACTCTTATCTCCAATAAACTACTCAAAAAAAAAAAAAAAGTGATGCTGTGGCTTAAGTGGTAGAGTGCTCACCTTGAGCAAAAAGAAGTTCAGGAACAGTACCCAGGCAGAAAGGTGCAGGGCGCTGGTGGTTTATGCCTGTAAATCCTAGTTACTCAGGAGGCTGAGATCTGAGGATTGCAGTTCGAAGCTAGCCTGGGCAGAAAAGTCCCTGTGAGACTCTTATCTCCAATTAACCACTTAAAAAATAGAAGTGGCATTGTGGTTCAAGTAGTAGAGTACTAGCCTTGAGCACAAAGAGGCTCAGGGACAGTGTCTAGGCCATGAGTTCAAGCCCCACAACTGACAAAAAAAAAAAGTGCAAGAAAGGAAAAGCAAGAGGGCCAAGGTTCTATCTATCTATCTATCATCTATCTTAGTGGTTAGAAAGGAACCCAAGGATCCATGCTGGACAATGACTCTGCCACTGAGCCACACCCCAGCTATTTGAAAGGATGTCTAGGAAATATCTCCTCATTGAGGTGACATGTACAGACTGGAAGGCATAAGGAATGGGGTGAAACAGAAAGATATTTAGGATTTCCCAGCAGCAGGAACAGCCTGTGGGTGTCTGAGGTGGAGTGTGTGTGTGTGTGTGAATGGAAGAGTCCAGGTATATGTGTGTGTGTGTGTGTGGAAGAGCCCAGGTCTGAGGCAGGCAGCTCTGGTCAAGGGAGCCATAGCAGGCCCTGCTGGCTACCACCATGGTCCTGATCCTCAGGCTACATCCCTGCTTGCTTTGGCAGGGATGAGGGAGAGAAACCCAGGGTTGTTTTTGTTTGGGGACCCACTGTGTGCACCCTGGGGGCTTAAGTCAAAAGTAATTAGAGGTGGGAGAGGGGAGAATTCTAATCCCCTCCCTGACCAGCATGTGTTTTCTACTTCAAAAAATGTATTTTTTTTATGTCAGTGCAAACAATGTGACAAGCCTTTCTCCAGTGAAAGTGACACCCCCTCTGAGATTTTCACCAAGTGTATGTTCTGCCGGAAGGAGGAAGAAGAAGATGACCAAGCCCAGGTTTCTTTTTCACCACAAGATAACAGCCAGGCTGACTGATGGCCACTGGGTCCTGAGTGACTGGAGCGTGGGCCACTTGTGCAGGTAGAGGGGTCCTGCTACAGGAAGCCTTCTGGGGTTCGCCTGGAGGGCTCTCCAGGCATGCGGCGCTGTACCAGCCCACAGCACCCCTGGCTGAGGTCAATTACTTTAATTTTCAAATGGAAATAAACATAGATTTCTCTGTAAACAAACTTACATGTCAATTGTTGAAGTAGCTTTTTTTTATTTTAGTGCTAGTGTTGGGGCTTGAACTCAGGGCCTGGACTCTGTCCCTGAGCTTTTTTTTTTTTTTTTTGCTCAAGGCTAGCACTCTACCACGTGAGCCACAGCACCACTTCTGGCTTTTCTGTGTATGTAGTAATGAAGAATGGAACCTAGGGTTTCATGCATGCTAAAGCAAGCATTTTACCACTGAGCCATATTCCCAGCCCTCATAAGCTTTTTTGCTCTAGGTGGGATACCACTTGAGCCACAACTCCACTTGTGGCTTTTTGCTGGTTGACTGAAGATAAGTATTTCACAGGCTTTCTTGCCTGGGCTGGCTTTGAACTGGGATCCTCAGATCTTAGCCTCTTGAGTAGCTTGAATGCAGGAGCCACAGTGCCTGTCTCCTTTGATTCATTTTAAAACTTGATTCAAAGTTATTTGTAAAGTATCCATTGTCTGCTGATAGACTGTCCATGTACCAATAATCACCATGACCTGGGGGCTCATTATTTGGATAGGTGCCATGCTCAGATCCATCCCCCCAGTGGGAATAAAGATGGTTGATAGCTAACATTCAAGTTGGCTTGCTCAATTTTTCTTTTCTTTTGGTACCAATATTGGGGCTTGAACTCAGGGATGGTGCGCTGTCCCTTAGCTTTTCTGCTCAAGGCTAGAGCTCTACAGTTTGAGCTACAACTCTACTAGCTTTTTGCTGGTTTATTATTTATTTATATTATTTATTTATATAAATCTCTCAAGTTTTCCTATTTGGGCTGGATGTAAACCTCATCCTTACTTCTCAGCCTCCTGAAGTAGCTAGGATTGCAGGTATGAGCCATGGGAAACACGCTACACAATTCAATTTTCAAAGTAAACTTTATGCCTTGCTCATTCATGGAAGAAAGTCAACTACAATTACAGTATGTACTACCCACGAATAAAATTAACTCTATAGAATTAAGAGTATTTCCAAATTAACTTCATTACTTACTTTTGGAAGAAAACCTCCACAAATGAATAGTTTGATTTTTTTTTTTTGGTCTGGTCGTGGGGCCTGAACTCTGTGCCTAGGCGCTGTCCCTCAGCTCTTCAGCTCAAGGCTAGCACTCTACCACTTGAGCCACAGCGCCACTTCTGGCTTTTTTCTTTTTGCTTATGTGGTGCTGATGAATTGAACCCAGGGCCTCATGCATGCAAGGCAAGCGCTCTATCACTGAGCCACCTTCCCAGCCCCTAGTTAGATTTTTTTCTATAGAGGGAAAAGTGTATCTGTGCTCCCTTATATGTCTGATATAAGCCAATTCATACATGTGTGTGTATGTATGTATATTTGTTGTGATTCTGGAGCACATTAAATATTTGAGCAAGGAGACAGGGTCAAAGGGAGAGAGCAATCTTTTCTTTTTACTTTTACTAAAACGTTGCAGTTTATGATTGAAGTATAAAGCTTAAAGCAAAAACGTGCTTATGTGGTATTTTTATTTGCTTAGTTATACAGTATGGGGGTGTGTGTGTTTCATTGTGAAATTTTCCAAGTTGACAACGTATCCCTATCAACCTAACTCCTCTTTCTCTTCATGCTTTTAATCAAACTACTCATACTATATTTGTCTCTGTGAATTTTTGGCTGCTATTTCCCAGGCGCCATTTCCCCGTGCTCTTTCCCGTCTCTAGAAGGACGGCACCAGGAATGAGTGGCTCAAGCTGATCATCCTAGCTACACAGGAGGCTGAGATCTGAGGATCGTGGTTCAAAGCTAGCCCGGGCAGGAAAGTCCCTGAGCCTTTTATCTCCGATGAACCACCAGAAAACCGGAAGTGCAGCTACGGGTTCAAAGTGGTAGAGCCCTAGCCTTGAGCGAAAAAGGACAGCGCTTGGGCTGGAGTTCAAGCCTCAGGACCCCCCCCCACACACACACACGTAAAGAAAAAGAAAATGAACAGACTGTACATGACAGCCTCTGTCCCCCTGGCTGAGCAGCTACAAAGAATAGTGGGGCGCCCTTCCCATGCATCTATGTTTTGCATCGACCTTACATTCCTGCGGAGGTCTCAGCATTGGGATGAAGTGGGTAGGTGCCGGGGTGCAGATGTTTGGGGGCCCTGTGGGAAGCCGGAAGGGAAGTTGGTCCTGTGCTGCTACCCGAAGCCAGCAGCCTAGGCCCGTGAATCCGTAGTTGCTGGGGGCCCATCAGCACCCCCACACACACACCCGCAAACTCGCCGCGAGGAGTCGGGGCCGAATGGAAGTTGGAGCTCCCCAGGCCTGCGCCGTCGTTCGCCAAATCCCGCCGAGGGCCTGCGGAGAGCGAGCAGGACGCCCCTGAAGTCTAGCCGCGCTGGGGGGGAATCGGGGTGTTTCCAAGACGGCCCCCCCACCCTCACCTCACCTCCCAGCAGCGACACACAAACGTCCACACCCGGCTCAGGCGACTCCTGAGAGATGCTGGCGCGACGAGACAGTGCGCGGGAGGCTGTCGCGGGACCATGACGTCACGTCCGGCGTTTTGGGTTTCCTCCCACCCTTGGTGTGTTCAAGAGTCAAAGACGACCCCCCCCCTACGCATGCGCCTGCCACAGGCGGCAGACTAGCTGTGCGCATGCGTGCGATTCACGAGGTAACTAGAGATGGGGAATCGTTTCTCGCGGTACTTACGCGGGCGGCGCCGTGGCTTAGTTGGTTAAAGCGCCTGTCTAGTAAACAGGAGATCCTGGGTTCGAATCCCAGCGGTGCCTAGGCTTGGACGTCAAGCTCTCTCGTCACGTTTTGCTTTTGCTTTCCATATATTCCAACTGTTCCTTACTTTGAGGATGCAAAGGTGAACTCGGAATGGTACTTTTAACCCGAAATCTCTGCGTGGCCTGGGAAGCTACACCCTGAATCTCCAGATCGTGAACCTGGACCTTGAAGGGGAACGCCGAGGTTGCAGCCATACATACCTGCCTGCCTTTGCCCCTGGCGTGGGTCTCCTAGGATGTCCAATGCAGGTAAGCCTTCCACAAAACACTGAATTCCTCCTTCAATCCTCGACTTCTTTGCAGGTGGATGGCAGGCCCTGAGAGGTCAAGTGTGGACCAGAGGGAAAGCTAAGAGTGCAGTGTGGCCGTGTGGCAATGCAGTTGAACCCCAACTGTGGAAGATCCTGGAAGACTCTGTTCAACTGTTCAGGGTGGGGTGGACAGCAAGGCCTGGGCAGGGGTGTGTGGCTGCAACCATGCAGGGGACCTGTTGTAGAGACATCATACCCAAGACTTTGAGGGTGCGGAGGTGGCGATTTCAAGGTATTTTCCTAGGATAGCCATGGGTCAAATCCAACAGGAGCACTAGTGGCTCACGCCTGTCATCCTAGCTACTTAAGAGGCTGACATCAGAGGATTGGGATTCTAAGCCAGCCCAGGCAGGGAAATCCATAAACTCTTATCAGCAATTAACCACAAGGAAAGAAAGGAGGGAAGGAAGGAGGGATGGAGGGAAGGTGGGAAAGAGGGAAGGAGGGAAGGGAAGGAAAGAAGGAAACAACTGGAGCTGTGACTCAAGTAGTACAGTGCTCAGCCTTGAGTGAAAAAGCTAAGGAACAAGCATCTAAGCTTCAGTAACAGTGCACACACACACACACACACACACACACACACACACACATCCTCCACACAAAACTAGTCCAGAGTCCCAGACAGGTTCAGAGGTGATTGATTAGTGGTAATACTGTTACCAGTGTGTATGAAGAAAGGAAGGAGGGAAAACAACAGCAATGAAGTTAAGGGAAATAGCAGGCTTGAGTTAGATTGTTCAAAAACAAGCACATGGTTTAGAATTTCAGGCTGGCACTGTGATTCATGCCTATAATCCTGGCTACTCGGAGATCTGAGAATAGCAGTCCCAGGCTCACCAAGTTAATATCTGTGAGGGCTGGGAAGGTGGCTCAGTGGTAGAGTGCTTGCCTTGCATGCATGAAGCTCTGGGTTCAATTCCTTAGTATGACATAAGCAGAAAAAGCCGGAAGTGGCCACTGTGGCTCAAGTAGTAGAGTACTAGCCTTGAGCTGAAGAGCTCAGGGACAGTGCCCAGGCCCAGAGTTCAGGCCTCATGACCAAAAAAAAAAAAAGAAAAAAAAAGTGAGATGCTTATCTCCAATGAAGCACTAAAAGAGCCAAAAGTGGAACTGAGGTTCAAGTAGTAGAGCACCAACCTTGACTATCAAAGCTCAGAGACAGTGCCAGGTCTTGAGTTCAAGCCCAGGATAGGTACACACACACAAAAAGTCAGAGCCTGATGCTGGTGGTTCGCACTTGCAATCCTAGCTACTCAAGAGGCTGAGATCTGAGGATCACAGTTCAAAGCCAGGCTGGGCAGGAAAGTCTATGAAACTCTTATCTCCAATGAATCACCAGGAAACTGGAAGTGGAGTTGTGGCTCAAAATGGGAGAGCATTAGCCTTGTACACAGAAGCTCAGAAGCAAGGCATCTGCATGAAAGCCTTAAGTAGGAGTTTGTTGCATAAAGGTTCAAGATGGATGGGGGCCTCTCCCTCAAGGGAGGTTTTTTTGTTTGTTTTTGGTCGTGGGGCTTGAACTCAGGGTCTGGGTGCTGTCCTTAAATATATATATATATATATATAT